GTCTACTTCGCGAACTCCCTCTTGGTGTAGTTGCTTAAACAAAGTGTTGCGCGATACTCCCCTCTTTTTCCTTTCTGCTTCTAGGTCGATTTCTTATTCAATGTCTGTCATTCCATCGTCTTCTTCATCGTTGTAGGCCTCTCCAGAAGTCTGGCCTTCTTCACATACCAGCATGCAGGCTTCTCCTTCGTTGTCGTCCCTCTCTTCTTCCTTTTCTTTATTCTTGAATTCATTGGCCAGTAGGTAATTATTGGCCACGACAGGAGGCAACGTACCGAATTGGATAGCAAGGGGCTGATCTGGATCTTCTTCATCCTTTTTGTCCCTCTCAAACCTTGACCTCCCAGAAGAGGTTTCTGGCAGTTCCTTCATTGATTCATCTGTACCAGTCTCTTTACTACTTTTGAGGACGTTCTAATTGGCTACCTTGAGTAATAGAGGCGCTTTAGGATGTGACATTCCTTGTTGCTGCCTCATCATCCATCCGTAGTTTCACTGGAAACGCCTTTGCTGGGTCCTAGTCATCTCATCGAAGGGTATTGCCCTTCCTACGCTGTATTGGAATGAATGCCATACATTTGGCCGGCGAGGTTGTGGCCTAAATGTTCTTCCAGTATCTGCTGGTCTGAACTGCCTTTCAAAAGGTGGTCCTCTATAAAATGATGTACCTTGCCCTCTGTCAGGCTGAATGTTTGGGAAGAAGGCAGGGCGATGAGGATGCTGCCATGTCCCTGGTTTCTCCGTGTCTCCATTTACTTCCTTTTTACACCTTGCACACAGGACGTTTTCGTCCTTTTTTGGTTCTTTCCCTTTGATTCGTTCGAAGACACTGGGATGTGTTTTAGTGTCTTCTTCTCCATCGTCTATGACCAACTTGAATTTTGGCAACTTGTTCTTGAACCCAGACGTTACCATATTTACCCCAAGTGGCTGGTGGGAAAGGATTCTCGTCCACTGCCATCTTTTTCTTATCGTCGAACGTAATTCGTCCTGATTCAATAGCATCCTGCAATACGTGACGGAAAACCAAGCAATTGTTAGTCAAATGTGACCATGCATTATGCCACTTACAATATTTTTTACCCTTTATTTGTTCAGGGTTTGGCAATTTGTGCTTATCGCTCAACTTTATTTGCTTATCCCTATATAATTTATCGAATATAAGGTCAGCTTTGGTCACATCGAACGAGAACGTTCTAGCCTTTATGTTTCCATCCTTTATGGGCTCATTTTTGCCCGATGGCCTAGGCTTGGCCATTATGGGACAAGTATATGTATCCCCTTTTACCAATTCGGCCAAACACATTTCGGCCTGATCGTATGATTCGTCATCGATGGTATGAACGTCAAAATTTGGGTCTCTGTAATAAGTCCCTTT